ATTGTTTTTAGTAACTTTAATTTTTCTAAACCTTAAAAGAGAACTATAGGGTAAGTGTTTTTCCCCATAGTTCTCTTTAGGGTCACGGTAGGACATATACTAGCGTCCTCCCGTGACCCAAAGCTCAGTATATCGCGAGCGACAACTGGCGGTATACTGAGACCGCCGAAGCCAGGATGGATCCAGACAGTGCTGTCGAGATCCACCCAGCTGCGTGAGTGACAGCTGGCTCTGCCTATCTAGAGGCAGAGTCAGCTGTGCCCACCCTCTCCCCCGTCCATTCCTCCAGTCAGCGCTGGAGGATCAGAGAGGGGAAGGAGAGAATTCCAGCGGGGAGCGTTGACTGACAGTCACTGCTCACTGCAGGGAGACGATTAAGAAGTGAGCGGATCGGCGGCATGTTTCTGCCCACTTCCCGATCGATAGAGCTGACCTGTGATAGCTTCATGGAAATCATTCACCTCATCGTTCTCCTTTAACTTTATTGCTATGACATAGGGGGCTAACAAGCCCCCTATGTGATAGCCAATATACAGTGACAGGTTTCTCTTTATGGAGACAGCAGGGGTCTCTAAGACCCCTAATGCCACCTAGGGACCCGCAGAGATCTGCTTCACCAGCTTCTCCTCGGCTTCTGTAGCCGGGAATGACAGCTGAATGTAATATACATCACTTCCTGCATTTAGAGACCGGAGAGGAGTTAGAGGGAGATCGTATACTGATCTCCCTCTGATCTCCGGTGACAGAGTCGGCGTGCTGGTCCCGGCTCTCACCAGGCACAGCAGAGCTCGGGACCATCGGCGGTCGCACACATAATACAAGCGGTCAGGCGTCTCTACAGATGCCGAACACTGGTATATAAACAGCCATCGCTGGCTGTTGACATTTCAAACAGATTTCCTGCTCGTGTGTGCCGCCTGGTGGCGGGCATAAGCGGGATAGGATAAGACGTTTAAAAAAAAACACCCGCATTAAAGAAGCTGCCGTCCGGCCATTTCATTACATTGGTCGAACGGCAGGTGGTTGAAAATATATTTCTAATAGCCTTAAAGATGAACTCCATTAACAAAGTTAACACTTGCAGTGGGTCTACTCCCACACACAAAGGTTACCTGCTTCTTTTGGTCTAGGGCAAGGGTAGGCAAACTCTGGCCCTCCAGCTGTTGTAAAACTACAAATTTCTTCATGCATCTGCCTCTGGAAGTCACACCTGTGGGTGTCAGAGTCTTACAATGCTTAATGGGATTAATAGTTGCACCACAGCTGGAGGACCGGAGTTTGCCTACCCCAGGTCTAGGGGCTGGATCTTCGGTCCCGCCTAGCTGCTAGACTGGTCCCTGCAGCCCCTTCTCCCCCAGGCTTCCGGTGGTCTAAGGACCGTGACGTCATCACGTCTAATGCAAGTCCATTCTCCTGCATTACATGTGAGGACGCCGAGGGACATTCCACAGACACAGCTGAGGGGGAGAGAGGTGAGTGCTGACAGCCAGGGAACCCAGGATCAGGCGAGTATATCTTCTGTATTCCATAAAACGAGCAGTTAACCCTTGCAGTGCAGCTTGTGGAGTTCTCCATTAACCCTTTCAGTACCAGAGCCGTTTTTGTGGGTCTTTAACAGGCACACCTGTTAAAATGCCCGTTTTAGGCCTGCAGATTTCTTAAAACCTCCATAATTATATAATTTCTTAAAGCAGCTACCCCAGAGTGAATGACATGAATGGCACCGACACGCCCCCTCCCGCCCCAGAACGCGACCCGGCTTGATCTATGCAATATGGTGTGACTGGGCCCTTAGAGCAGAGGCAGATTTTGCATTGCAATCAGGCAGCTGGTATTAAAAAGGAGCTTTGGGTGGCAAAAAAGTGGCCGAGTGCTTTTACACACATGGATAGATATTTTTGTCTAATAGATGAAACATGTTAGAACTTCCTGCTCTTGAAACAACTTCAGAATAAAACATGAGTTTCACCTCCAGCTTCTACACTTATTTATTTTATTGAAACAATATGTTACTATTGAATTGTGCACAACATACATTTTCCAGAACGCTAAAAACTCCCCATGTCAGGGGTTACTAATTGTTATTTACCTGTTGTATTTGCTATCACTCTTTTCTCATTTTGTATGCTGCCTATATACAGATCCCTGCATAGTATATGGCTAGCATTAACCCACTTACAATGTTATTATTAGGGATGCACCAAAATTTTGGCCGGCAAAACATACCAGCCGAAAATGGCTTCTGGCAAAATGCCGAAAGTGTCATATTTCGGCCCAAAGTGCGGTGCATGCCTAGTTTCTCTCCTCCCTGCTTGGCACTGCTCTGTCACAGCATGGCATTAAGCGGGGGGAGGGGGTACTGTCACAGGAGGCCAAGCAGTGTGCCTCAGCCTCCTGTCACAGATCAGGAGAGCGGTGTTGTGGCGCTGACAGCTGTCACATTGAGCCGGGATGGCATTGAGGGGGAGGAGTCAGCTGGCAGAGGAGATCAGGCTCTCCTTCCTGCACTGCTCACTCAGAGTATGTTTACTGTGTCCCCAATTATGAATGAATGGGAAGTGATCTACATCACTTCCTGTTCATTCATGATTGTGGATATAGTAAACATACTATTTCCTCATGTTATGAATGAACAGGAACACTCAGCATAGAGGATTCCTGTTCATTTATAACAGGGGCTGCAGAAAAAGAGATTGAGGAATCTGTGTTCTCAATCTCTTTTTATATTTTAAAAGGGAAATATCAGGGGTCTGTTTAGACTCCTAATATTTCCCCAAAGCCCCTAAAAATAAAGTAAAAAATTA